CCGTGCGTATTTGGTTGTAGAATTAAGTCGGGTGTGCCCCTCCACAGGAGGAATATTCAAACATAGTCAAAAAATAGTCCGGGGACGATGCTTCGAGCATTTTTTTAATATGTTTGAGCTGTTTTGAGTACTTTTTATTTTTCGTCCAAAATCCGTCTCTGGGGGGCCATGCCCGACCTAATTGTAGAACCTGAGGGAGTCTTTAGCGAGAGGTGCCGCCTTTGCGAAACTGAAGCGGGAGCCCAGGAACCCGTTCGCCTGCCGAAATGCATCCCGGCTTTTTGCCAACCCCTTTCACTTTCCGCGGGGACGGCGGGGACCCCTGCAGTTCAGCACGAACGGAATGGGTACAATGCCCAACAGCAGCTCTTGTTCATTTTGAACAGGACTCGCTGTCCGCGCCGCCGCGGCCGGTGTCCATTTGAGACGGAAGGCCGCCTGCCCAACAGCGGCCGCTGTTGGCTTAGGACAACATTTGTTGTTGGGCATTGTCTCCATTTTTTCCGTACCGATTTTGGGCGTCCAATTCAGTGCAGGTATGGAGAGCAAGCAGAACGTTATGGTCAAACGCAGAGCAGCCAGGTAGCTGCTTCGCGTCAGCAAAGATAGTCCGACAGAGCAGGTGCAATGTTGGCAGTCCGATTCGTTGTGGACATTCCGCGGACAGATGTGCGCGTGTCACATCTCGATCGCGCCAGTGTCATGCGCAAGGCCGTCGAGTTCGGTGTGCACGCACCTCGGGGTCCGAGCGTTGGCTTGGCCCTGGGGATGCTCGACGCCGCAGTGCGTTTCAAGCGAGCCTTGCCTGGTCAGGAGCTCGAGGCGCTGGTGTCTCGCGGGTTCGGCCGCGGCCGCCGCGGCGGGCGCGGAGGTGCCGGCGCCTGCACCGCGGGGGAGCTCCTCGTGGCACGCTCCGCCTCTGCCCGCGCCGCCCGATGCCTCGCGCCGCCCGCCGCGGCCGCGCTCGGCCCCGCGAGTGCCCTCTTGCCTGGCGCAGCGTGCCGCACCGCTCGGGCGAGCCCCCTCGAGCTGGCCCGCGGCGGCACGGAGTAGGGCTCGGGGGCAGGGGCTGTGGGCATCGCCCAGACGTGTGCACACCTTCTCTGCGGCGGGCGCCAGGGAGGCGCCTCCCGGGCCAGCTCCGCGAGCAGCAGCTGCGCGCGCGGCTTCGAGCCCGCCGCCCGGGGAACGGGAGCTCCGAGCGACGGCTGCGGCGCTGCGGAGTGCGCCGCATGCAGAAATAGGGGAGAAAACAATGACATAAACCTAAAAACTCGGAGGTCCGCACGGATTTCTCAGATGCGGCGCTGGACCCCCCTCCCTGGCGCGCGGAGCGCGCCAGGGGCGGCGCCGGAGGCGCCGCCAGGGGGGTCCAGCGCGGATCCGAGAAATCCGCGCGGACCTCCGAGTTTTTATGCTTATGCCATTTCTTGTTTCCCTAAGGAAGGGAAAAGGGAGGGGCAGGAGGAGGCGGCCGCAGGGGGGGGGGGGGCGGGCGCGGGGGCGCTCTGTCGCGCGGCGGCGCCGCGGGGAGCGCCCCTGGGCACGGCGCGCGGAGCGGGCGCGAGAGGGCCGGGCCTCCTCCCCCGCGAGGGGGGGCGCGAGGAGGTAGCGCGCTGCGCGTGCCAGGCGGCCTGGGCCGGAGGGCTGCCCCGCGGAGGCAGGCGCGTCGCGCAATCGTGGGGCGCGGTGCGCGGAGTTGGACGACGACGACGACGACGACGACGTGGGGCGCGGTGCGCGGAGTTGGACGACGACGACGACGACGACGACGACGACGACGACGACGTGAACGACGACGAGGACGACGACGACGACGACGACGACGACGACGACGTGGGGCGCGGTGCGCGGAGTTGGACGACGACGACGACGACGACGACGACGACG